AAACATGTTGCCCAGAGAAGTTGTGGGTGCCCCTCCCTCACAGTGTTCAAGGCCAGGTAGGATGGAGCTTTCAGCAACTTTGTCTAATGGAAGATGCCCACAGCAGGATGATCTTTAATGTACTTTGAAACCCAGAAGGTTCTGTGATGATTCTCTGATTGGTTGTGCTACGTAAAGGCTTTTAATTTTCAGCAGACACCAGTAGATATTGTGGGGAAAAATATGTCATTTGCAGCCCATAATTGAAATGTGAAGCCTACATTCAGATTAGTGTTTGTGTAGAGGTAAATAGGATTCTCCCAAATAATCATCCTCTAATCAACATAAATGGCAACAGTGGTGCAAAAGTCAGAGATGGCACTGCATGGTAGAAAAAAAATAAAGGACATACAAAAACCTGACCAATTCCACTGGATATGAAACTGTTTCGTTTTCAAGAAAGTAAGGATATGGACAAGGATTAATTTGATTCATATTAATTAAGGGGCACAACAGACTGTGGGCAATTTTTCCTACCTTCCATGTTGAAAGCAGGAGCAACAGGAACAAATAAATGGCAAATAAATCTAATGTCTCATGTTAGTCAGAAGAGTCACACCAGCTGTGTTTGCTGGGAGCTCTGTGCTTCTTTCCAGACAGGCTGGCTGGGGGAGGAAAGCATGGGAGCACAAGGACAGATGTGAGGAGCTTGTTCTTTGGATAATGTACTTCTGTAACCAATTTTGTTAGAAATTTCTGCAGGGAGGAATAGTCTTCTGGGCATCAGCATTATTTTTCATTCTGTGGCTTGCAGCTTTCTGAGGGAGGGAGAGGTAGTGCATACTTATCAACCAGCAGCACAGTCTTCGAAGCAGGGAAAAGCAGCGAGATGCCACAGTGAAATGGACTTTGAATGAATCCTACTGGAGCTGCCCCAAGCACTGGAGTAGGATGTTTGATAGGTTGTCAGGATCTGTTCCCCTAGAAATCCAAACTCCTTGTTTTTCTGCACGGTTATTACAAGACAAGAGACAATTTGCTGATTTGAACTTATTTCAGTCAGATCTGGTTTTAAAAAAAATCCATTGCCAGGGTTTTCATGTAAGAACTAAGCCAGGTGTACAAACTACCTGAGCGTTTGACTTTCTCACCTTATTCACAAAAGGGGTTGTAAGTTTCCTTTTAGTGGTTAATGCAAAGAGTTGGGAGGAAGAGGTGTGGGTTGAAAAATTAGTTGCTAATCATTGAATAGACTTGCTGTCTGGAAGGGCTGAAATTGCTGCTGGGTGC